TAATTGAAAGATTTATTACAATATATGTGTTGGGGTAGTGGCGCAGAGACCCTAGATTCACCTCTAGAATTTGGGAGAGCCTACAACAAGCTTTGGGAACCCAACTGAGACTTAGTTCAGCATACCACCCTCAAACTGATGGTCAGACTGAGAGGACTATTCAGTCTTTAGAGAATTTGCTTAGAGCCTGTGTTTTGGACCAAGGAGGAAGTTGGGATAGAAAACACTTCTCATTCTCATTCTCTCTTCTCTTATACTATTGAAATATATTATAAATTATGAAATGTGAATATGGAATGATGTACTATAGAAAATTCTGTAACATGTTAGATGTGGAGTCAATGAATGTATGACATGCATCATATGCATATATTATTCCAGGTGTGCCGCTGAGGCCGCATACCCACGACTAACAAGGTGTGCCTTTGGGTCACCAATGATGTACGCATATACTAGGGCAGAACAACCTCCTATGGATTCCTCTGGGCCTTCAGAGAGAAGAAGAGGAAAAGAATAGAGTATAAGAGAAGAGAGAATGAGAATGAGAAGTGTTTCTTGGGATGGTTTGCAATGGAGAAGTGAAGGTCTATTTATAGTCTCCAAGACACATTAAAAAAATGGTTTTCAAATTCCTTCATCTATCATGTTAAATATTCTAAAAACCGCAACATCTTTAACTCACGCTGGCAGCTTGACCCCTCTTCACTAAAACAGACATATCTGGAGTTCTAGAACTTCTTTTTGGGTGATTCCAACGCGATTGAAAAGATAGCATCCACGGCTACAACTTTTATGAAGACCACTTGACCAAATTCGGCCATCTAGAGGGTGCAAATCATCGTGCTAAAGAACGTGTCCACTAACCCATCCACCAACTTTAATAATTCATTCCATTAATTCATCCCACCAACTTTAATAATTCATCTCACTAATTCATTCCACTTAGTTTTGTCTAAGATTTTTTCATTATTTTCCATTTTTTTAATGTGTCTTGGAGACTATAAATAGACCTTCACTTCTCCATTGCAAACCATCCCAAGAAACACTTCTCATTCTCATTCTCTCTTCTCTTATACTCTATTCTTTTCCTCTTCTTCTCTCTGAAGGCCCAGAGGAATCCATAGGAGGTATGAAGCTGCTTACTGAAGGTCACAAAGAATATCCAGGAGTCTTATACCATGATGGGTATGAATCTTGGGATGTTCAAGGCAATTCTCATTACCAGTATTGCCTATACAGAGCTCAAATAATGGGTTACAATTGGTTTTTCTCAACAACTGATGAAGAAGATTTTAACCTGATAAAAGAGTCTCATAACACAAAGCTTTTTCTCCCAGAAGAAAACGGAAAGTTCTTTATTCCCTTTCCAGCGGAGAACAACAACAAACTTGTGCAGTTTTTCCAAAGAGAAAAGAAGCACAAAGAAATCTATGAAGATGATGGATGTTTTGGTCAACAAACACCCACCGAAACACAGTCTATGGCCGGATCATCAGAAATGCAGGATGCCGGAGAAGACGAAGAAGTAATAGTCTCAAAATAAAAGACTATGACTCAACAAAAGGACAAACACTGTCTGCAAAGACAGTTGTTATGATAAAAACCTTATCTTAAAGGAATCTGCTTTAAAGATAAGGCACGTTGTAATTTTATCTTTTAGTCAGAGTCTGTAGCCCTGTGACAGAGTAAATATGTGGTTATGACAACCCCACTTGACTGAAGGGGCATTTGTGTCTTTATTTTCTCTTTTGTCTTCTAGTTTCTAGTTTTCCTTTAAAAGGACCCTCTTGCTCTACTTGTAAGCACGCAGAAGTTGATATCAAATATATCCAATGAAAAGAGTGTTCTCTTGTAGTGTTCAGTGTGTTTTGCTCCTACTCCTTTCATATAAAATTTGTAAGTATTATTTTTTAAAAGATGGTAGGCTAAACCATTTTAACAGTTTGTCTAATAAATACATCATAAGAAGTGATATTTTGGTTAACAAGAATACAAATGAATATATATATATATATATATATATATTGAATTTAAGATACAAATATATAAATATCCAAATGAATGAGGATAGAAATATTAGAATTATTAAATGTGGATATGAATTTAGATATTGTAAGGAGAAAGGTAAACGGAATCGAACATGGGTTGATTGCACTCGCAATCATAAGATGGGAATTCATTTCTTTCTAAAAAGCCTTTGGATGCTTATCACATCATCCACAGCATTTGGAAAAGAACAGAAAAATCTGAAAATCTTTATTTAACAGAACCTAAGGTTGTGATCTTTAATGCATAATTGTACCAAGAGGTTCTAGAGTTTCAAAAGGACCAAGGCCAAGATCATTTGATACAACGCGTTATAACTGTAAAGGTGTTTTCAATACACCAAAAATAAATTAATAGAAGAGTAAAAACAAGACTAAAATAGTATTTTAGTCCCTTATAATAATTGTTTGTTTTAATTTAGTCTCACTTTTATTTTTGTCTCAATTTGGTCCCTAATAAATTAATTGGTTTTCATTTGGGATTTCCGTCCAAATTATTTAAACGGAGTTAACTGTTGGCCACGTGGATGCCACGTAGATGCATAGGTGGATGTCACGTGAATGCCAATTTTTTGAAAATACCTGGAACCAGAACAGCCCGTTCTGAAACCAGAACGGGCCGTTCTGCGTGCACTCTTTGTGTGTAAATTTTGCATCCGGAACGGCCCGTTCCAGGTGCAAAATTAACACACTAAATGTGCAACCAGAACGAGTCGTTCTGGTTCTAGACTGCTAAACATAAACGATCAATCATTATAGTTCACGATTGTGAATCGTGGAAGGAAAAAGACCCAAGGTACATAACAGCGGATTATGTCTTGAGAGAAGTTCACGAGGGCATATGTGGATCTCATTCGGGAGGGAGGACGCTAGCTATGAAAGTGCTTAGAGCAGGTTTTTACTGGCCAACTCTCAAAAGCGATTGCATGCAGTTCGTCAAGCGTTGTCTTTCATGCCAAAAACATGGCAATCTTATCCATGCCTCGGCTGAAGAACT